AAAGATGTGTAGCCGTGTGAAATATGTATGTATGTAAAGACGTGGCTGTGTGCAGTGGTGTGGAGATATGTAGCAGTGTGGACACAGAAAGAATCAGAGACCATTTTTAAGATGGAGTAAAAGAGAAAGTTAACATCAGAAAGCATGTATATTTCTTCATTTTACCAGTCATAGATAGATTGAAACTTGTTCCTAACTATCCTCAGATAAACAAGTTTCTTACCCCTGGCTGCTCTGAGGCATTCCTTTTATTACCCTGAGCTTATCATGGGAGCTGGTCTCTCACGATCTGTGATAGTAGTGCTCACAGTGTGCTGTCTATTTTAACAGTTTGGAATTAAGTGTTAAATCATAGTATAATCGGTAGATGTTAAAAGTAACAAAACTTGGTAAGTAAAATATATAATATTTTAATGATATTGGCAAAAATTGCAATGTTATTATTTGGTTTTAGTTTGTCTTACTCAGGTAAAATCATCCAGCCACAAAAGGGGGATTCTTACTTGTTTTTCAAGTCCCATGTACCTACCAAAATTTATTGCCAAAGAAGTTATTAAAGCTGAATTTGGCTTGGTTTCCATGGGTATGGAAATTTCACCAGTAATTCCCATGACTCTCATGTGAGCAGACTCAGTTTGAATGACACAAGCTTATCATGTGACCTTGGCTTGGTAGGCAGAGTGCGTCAAAGGAAGACTCTTAGGATTAAGAGTCAGTGCCCCCTGCACATACCTTCCTTAGCTTTCTCACCAGATCCCTTTAGTCCCAACTCAGTGAGTACTAATGTCTACAACATCAGGTCTGCCTTTGTTCTCAATAAGATCTGTAACCTCTGAATTTTCCCAGAGTGGCTAAATGATAAATGGAGATCACATACTTACTAAATTAATTAAATGATGTAGAAACCATTCTCTGATTAAGAGTCACTACAGGTGAATAGTTTGTTACAAGCAACTGCAAACATTTCTCACTCTTTTTTTCCCTCTTCCCTGTGCCCTTTCTTGGTGCTCATTCTATTCATCTTTTATGTTGTTCATTAAAATGTTACATTTTATACCCAGCATTGTTCACACTCTACAAGGATTTTATCACTTAGATAAAAGCAATCTCCCTGCTGCACAGCTGGCTTCCAGTGTGATCTAATTGCTTTTGTGATATGGCGAGGACACCTAATGCCATGCAGAGCACTGCTGAGCTTTCCCACACATGTAAATTAAATTACTTGTACATGAACTTGTTTTATAACATGTAACTGGAAAGAGTTTCAGCTCATTTAGTGAGATGTCTAACATCAAATACAACTGAAAATGTGCATGCAGTGACTAGATATTTTCCTCTGTGTATCTCAAATCCCTGACTTACATTGGCTTTTTATCACATATCTCTAAACCATAATTTGGTTTATGAATATGGACATTTTAATGTTCATACCACACTGTATGCTTTTGTTTTAGGAGTTCTTTTTGTTTGTCAAGTCTGATGTACTAATCAAAATGTATGGCCACAGAAAATAACTGAGTTGAACCCTTGGTTTGGATATTTTATTGTTATCAACATACGACACATCACTTAAAGGAATGGAGTACATACTGGGCAAATGAGCTACTTAGTATTAATCTCTCAGCCCTACATACTTCCAAGAGAAAAATGTTATCTCCTGTCGTTAGGTCATGTTTATTTTCACTTCTAAATTTAAATGTTCACGTTTAATGTAGTTTTTATTAAATGTCTGCATAGTTATACATAAGACAAATTTTCAGCTTCATATTATAACTTATTTTTTGAGTTGAAGCACTCACAAAGAATAGCAATAAAATTAAGTAATGACTCCACTAAAAGTGTAACATAATTTCCTTCATATTTCATTTTGGAAATTGAGTTTTGGGTGGAAAATGATCATGTTTATTACATTGTGTTATCACTGTCTACTGAAATATCAAGCAGAAACACGAATTGGATAAGAATTAGGAATAGAGAGACAGTTTGTGAATAAAATGAAATGAGAGTATGAAAATGTAGTTCTGAATTATTTAAAAATTGATATCCTAACATTAAAAGGGAATAAAAGCACACTTATACAAAATTTTTTTTAATCTTTCTGAATAAAACAAATGCCATGCAGGCCTGTCATTGCATTCCAGAGTCCACTCTCACAAATCAAAGGACTTCGGAGGGTCAAAAGTTCAGTAAGTTTAAGGCCAGGAGTCATGCCCAGCTAGAAGGAAAGGGGAGGGGAAGAATGGTGGAGAGGGAAGTGGAGAGGAAGAGGGGAGAGGATTGGAAAGATGGGAAAGGAAGGGGAGAAGAGAGAAAAAGAAAAGCAGCGTAATTACCTTAAACTTCAAATGAGGGAATTTTACTTTTTGTTTAACCTTTACATTGAAATATATGATGTGCTTATCTATAATTTATAAAGGGGAGCTTTAATAAGTTATTCATTATTTTATTGTCACTCTGAAAGTATAATATTAGAAGACATCGGGGAGCAGTGGGCACAGGGAACTAAAATTGATGAGTCAAGATGTCGACATTAGAAATTAGATAAGAAAAGGCAACAGTAAGAGCACAAACGTGGAACCCAGTCCAGTCATCCTGAAAGAGAATGGAGGCTATATGTTACATATTCACACTCTGGATTGAATTTATCCAAGCAAAGCTGATAAACACTGCATAATTGCACAAACTACTCATGATAGAAATAGGTCCATCAACTTTTGTGCTAAAGCATGTTCTCAAGCAAAGCAAAAGCAATATAGAAAATGTGCAAGAATAACAAGTAGGAAATAATTATGTAAATATCAATTGAGGAGGAGAAGTGTCCCAAAAATAACCCTTTCCATGTAAATAACAATGTTAGATTAGCAAAATGGATTAAGTATTCCTGCATGCCATGTTTTCTATTGAATGAAAATGTGTAGAATCAGAAATGCAATCTATCCAAGATACGCTTTCTGTCATAATAAGGCAATAACTTACATAAGAGAATCACCCTCTGTCAAAGCCCCTTTAGGACAACAAAGAATCAGTTAGCTTAACCCTCTGTATGACATTAAATGGGTAACATTATTTTAAATTTATATTCATGCTTAGTGAATATTCTGCAAAAAAAAATGTATCATTCATTATATAGTTTAATTGCCCTCTGCAACACTCCAGCACTAACTTTATGAAGAATTCATGCCAACTATGTTATGCTATGTTTCTTAACTCTCTACTCAATGCAAAAATTAATTCAGTGTTTAAAATAAAACAATAAGGGGACTGGATAGATGTCTCTGGTTAAGAACACTTACTGATCTTCCAGGGGACCCAGGTTCAATTCCAGCATCCACAGGGCAGCTCAGAGTCACCTGTCACTGTAGTTCCAGGAGACCTTCTTCTGGCATCTGCAGGTGCTTGTGTGCATGTGGTACATGATAACTCATTCAGAAGCATAGTCATGCACATAAATAACAAATAAATGATTCATTAGAAAATACAATGGTAAAAATAGATCCTTTTGTTAATGAAAGAAAGCTTTGAAAATGTAAGATGAAAATAACTGAAAAATTGGTGGTCAGTTTTCCCCCAGGTCTGGTTACTAAATCCTAAAAGTAATATTTGGCCCATGTGAGTAATGCAAGTGTAAGTAGATCAAACACATCCTTAAGATTGTCTTCCTATAATCACTGGGTCCTAACAGAATCCTCTAATCTCTAGCAGACTTTATGTTCAAGTAACAGCCTCTCCTCAATTTGAAATACATGAAAATGCAGTAAGATACAGACTACAAACATACAAAAGGATGAAAACTCTCCATGCTCAGGATCTGTAACTATAACTGTGAGAAATACAAGATTCTCTCTGTCTCTGTCTCTGTCTCTGTCTCTCTCTGTCTGTCTTTCATGTATGTGTGTGTTTGTATGAGAATGTGTGTGTGAGTGTGTGTATGGATGTTTCACAGAATTTTCAAGCAGGGCTTCCTAGAATTGGTACTTAATATAAGTAGCTTTATTCATCTGAAGAAGGCAGTGAAAATTGCAAAGTCTCCGGGTAAGTGAAGTAGCAAAAGTAAGAAGACACTTGGCGATGGAGCAGCCCGATTCACCTCAGCTGCAAGCAATTTTGTGCTATTGAGAAGGAAGAAAAGAGAAGGAGGCATTCAGAATGAGGTTGGAATACTGGCAGGAGCAGACTCTAAAGCATGGAAGTGCATGCCATTTAGAAGCTTATGACTTAGAAGGTGATGGGGAGGTGCTTGTAAATTCTAAGTATGAATGTTATAGGCTTATATTGAATTTGTAAAGCCACAATTCCAGTGTGAGTGTGGAAAATGGATTTAGCACTTCTGTTTCCAGAAATCTGGTAGACTGGGAATTAATCCAAACAACTGTCTCTGCTGACACAACCATAATTAAAAATAAAATATACTAAAAATTACACCCAAAATCCACCTATTATTCAAACACATTGATAAATGAATGAAAATGTTTGTTGAAATGAGGAAAAGATGGGCTGGGAGAAGGTGCAAGGGCAAGGACTTGAGTTTGATCTCAAATGCTACATGAAAGCCAGGAGTGGTGGCTCGTTTGTAAACCCACCAATGTGGATCCTGGAGGCTTACTGGTTAGCTGGTCTAGCCATGCATTGAGGTCCCAGACAATGCTAGATGCTGGCACAAAAGAACAGGGAGCAAGACAGCAATTGATAAATGATATCTGAAGTTGAGCTCCAGGCTCAAAATGAACTTGCCCACACATGCACAAGTACACACATGAGCACACATACTTGAACATACATGTGAACACACACACACACACACACACACACACACACACACACCATGATAAAGAAGTATTTTTTACAAAGGAAGAAATCCTGGGGATTAAATAAATAAATAAATAAATAAATAAATAAATAAATGAAAATTGAGTGTCAATTTAGGTCGCAAGTGTAGTTGTGTGACCACTCAGACCTTGGGTATGCCTAGGGAATGCCAGCACACGGGGGCCAGTGTCTGAGTACTTGGTTTCACTGTATATGAAGAGTTTGACTCGAATTGACTTTCAAAGACAAAGAGTCAAGACAAAGAATAGATGAAAATGATTGAGGAATTTGGTAAGCAATCAGAAAACTGAGCCAGAAAACAAGAGCCTGACACCTGTGACGCCAAGACACAGAGGTACCTTCACATTTATCTCATTGTGTCCTGGGAGCCACTGTGCAGCCTGTTCCTCCATTATCGCAATAATGAAGAAAGGAGCATTCTCTCAGTCTAAGGACACAACAGACTTGGAATTCACAAGTAGAAGCAGACTTAGACAAAATCATGAAACAGAAGAAAACAAAACAAACAAACAAAGCCTTACATAAGAGATGTGGTGGTTTGAATGAGAAATGTGCCCCATTGGCTCAAGTATGAACACTTGGTTCCAGTTTGCTCACTGCTTGGAGATGCTATGGGACCTTTAGGAGGAGGGGCCTCATCAGAGGAAGTACTCACTGGAAGTAGATTTTTGAGGGTCTCACTCCGCTTGCAGTTTGTTCTCTCTGCTTCGTGTTTGCTGTTGAAGATGTGAGCTGAGCTTCTCGCTCTGGCTGCTTGCTGCTTTGGTTCTGCTGCCTCCATGAGCCGTGTCCATCTTGACCCATAAACCAAAAGAAACCCTTCACAGTTAAGTAACAACGCTGGGGAAAATACTAAGTGTTTATATATAACGTGTACTTGACAATCAGTGAGGACAGGTTGCATATATTTCAACCAGAGCATCAGGGTAGAGACTGGAGCCATCCCATCTGAGGTGTTGCTGACTCGGGCCCTGTTTGGACCTCATGTAGAGAATTTAATAGGTCAGACGGAAGTGTTTTCTTCCAGGGAAAGTGTCTCAGTCTCAAGAACTCTACTGATGCATACGGGGTACTGAAAGGCTTTGCAAAGACTTTGCATCGACTGCAAACATGATGCTAGTCAGAGATGGCTTGAAAAGCTGGCTCCATCTACAAAACTATCAGCCTTAAACAACCTTGACACTAGACAGAGCTGAGGACAGCTGCACAGAACCTGTAGTCCCAGCCCTTGAGAGGATTCAGGAGTTCAAGGCCAACCAAAGCCCCAAAACGAAACCCTGTCTCAAACAAAACAAAAAGGAAATGATTATTTAAATCACCAATCCAAAGCATCCAAGTAGGCTTTTCCTGCCCTTCACTGTGTGGTGTGTGCATGTTAGTGTTCATGTACATATTCCTGTAGAGACCAGAAGTGGATGTCTGATGTTAGCCTCACTGGTTCTCTACCTTAGATTTTGGGCAAGGTCTCTCACAGAACTTGGAACTCAAAGGTTAGGTAGGCAACCCCAGAATGCTCCTGCTTCCACTGCCAGCATTGGCATTAAAAGCACCCACCACCATACTGTCTTTTACAGGATGCTGGGAACCAATTCCTGTCTTCATGCCTGTAGACAAGCATTTTAATGACTGAGCCATCTCCCCAGGCCTGTCTTTCACTTTTAAAAGTCTCCACAAAGGGACTCCTGAAGTGAGAAGTCTAGCAGTTCTATGCCCCTGGTGCTTACAGACTTCCCAGTTAACAGAACCATTAAAATTTTGGCCAATGCCTACACCAGCATCCAACTTGGCCATCTAACTGAATATTTAAGGGAACTGCAGTCTCACCTACTATCTGACTTCACCCCTGAGATACTCCCAGGCAAATATAGTGCAGGCAAGCCTTTTCCAAAGGCCTGGTCTATCAAATCATAAGCTAAATTAAATTGACTGTAAACACTGGTTTTTCAGTAATGTCTTATATGCTAATAATAATTTTAAGAAGAAATCTGTAGCAATTTAAGTTACTCAGGAAATATTTGCTATCCACTAATGATGGACTTAGTCATATGAGTTGGCCATAGAAAGTCGTCAAGATGGGCTTAAAGAGTGGGCCACAAGCTCTTGAATCTTTGATGCTGTGATGAAAAGAAGTCATAAGCATCAAAATTTAACTAGGGATGAACAGCCAGGTGACCAGGCAGGTTGAGGCACTGTTATGGATCTGAGCTAGGTCACACATATTAGACATGAATCCCCATTATCAGATGCCAATGAGATGCCGTGACAGCTATGCAGCATTTTGTCACTGATAACAGGGGCTCACTCTGGAAATGTATGTTTAGTATTTAGAACTGAAGGCCAGATATGGAAAAACCGTGAAGTGATGGTGTTGAAGAGCAGGAAGGAGAGAAGAGCAAAGAAAGAAGGGAGGAAGGGATGGAAGGGATAGACAGAGCGAGAGAGGAAGGAACTATGGAAGTGAGGAACGGAAGGAGGGAGAGATGGAGAGAAGAAGACAGGCAAGCAGGCAGTCATGCAAGCAAGTCAGGGCCAACCAGAGATCCTGGAAGGTTCCTAGAACACATTCATCTACTACTAAAAAATAATTTCTATGAAACAAGGGAGATAATATAATGATTCTACAACACAAGTCAGCTATGGCATAAGGCTGTCTCTCTAAGATGTGTAGGATCACAGAAAGGCACCTTCATCCATTTTGAGCTCATCAGGGGACAATTTTAAAGGTGTGGAAAACAAACTAGGCAGACCTGCTTCTATCTGTTGCTGGAGGGTTCTAGGCTTTTCATGCCAGCTTTTCCAAGCTATACTGTAGTTGCCATAGTGGTGGACTTCGATCACCTCAGGACGCTGCACCTCCCATGTATCTGAAATAGGTCAACCTGACCAGACACCCCACTCCCAGCTACTCTGGTAAAGCCAGGCTTTAGACTACCTACTTTTGTGCTACAAATAATTGGATGCATGTGATAATTATCCAGAAACTGTTTTAGAATTTACCATTTGAATAACCATCAATCTATTAGATAAGGCATTTACTGCTATGAACATATGATTGCTTTATCCTTTGAAAGGTTTGCATGGCCTTAAGAACAGTTGTTTTGAAAAAAAATATTCTTTTTCCTTCAAAACTATCTTGAGATTTTTGTATACAGAATAAACACCAGATCTTTTCTTAAATATAAAAGATGATTGGCATCACCCATTTATAAATGTAAGCATTTAACTATAATAAAACACAAAGTAAGTGGTCTGAGGGAGAGAAGGACAAAGAACTAGTAAACTTCAGTTTTACTCTCACCAAATATGTGCTTTGTTTTAATTTGATTTTGTATTTAAATTCTCACAGTAACACAGACTGTGTCTAAGGGACTGGAAGGATGGTTCAGCAGTTAAGAGTGCTTGCTATTCTTGCAGAGGACAGCAGTTAATTTCCCATTACCCACATGGGGCCATTCACAGTTGTCTGTAACTTCAGCTGCAGGGGATCAAATGCCCTGTTCTGGTCTCTCTGGGCACTTGAACACTCATGATGCACCTGCCTATACTCAGTCACACACACACACACACACACACACACACACACACACACACACACACACACACTAAAATAAATACATCGTTTTTTAAAAGAATGTTTAAATCCTAGGGTCTTTTACATCAACAGGTATGGAATGGGATCCCTCTGGTTTTGTAAGATAATTAGAACTTATGTGTGCATGTGTGCACAGAAGACACAGACCAGCATAACCGCAGGTGAGACTTATCACATCACTGCGGGAAACTAGCTCGGATCAATATGGAAAGGAAACAGGAGAACAGAGAGAGACGGGTTTATGGTGACAGTAAAGACGTTTTCAGGTCACGTTCATATTTATTATTTTGAAAACTTCAGATCATTTAATTAAGTCACCTTATCTTTTGCCTTTAATTCTTAAAGAGACAGCCATATTAATCCAGACGAATAATCTCTTCAGAAGTTTAAAAGTCTATTGATTTTTTTTTCCTTCTTAAAATCTCCTCAATAAGATGTATCCCTGGAGAGTTCTATAAAAGGGCACCGACATCTTTGCAGCAGAGCTCGTTCACACACTTGGCACTTTAAGGACTCTTTCTTCTTATCAATGTCCCTGATTAAGCCCTTCTGTTCGTATCCTGTAATTTAATTTATGTCATTATATTTCACACAGAATTTTCTCATTTCTGCTTCCTGATTCACACACCATTAAGTGTCCACTTATGTAGATGATAGTCTTATAAACATCAAGTATTTTTTTTTCCTTCATTGCTTCTGTTAATCTTAGTAATAGACCTCTTTTTCTCAAATGGACAGAAAGGATATGGGTTTTTGTTAATATCTATCTAATATGTCGTATAAAATAATTTCATTTTAAGCCTCAGTTGCAGGTGTACTGGTATTGATAAATACTGCAATAGAGGATGCTAAAAATTGATTCTATCCCTTGGATTTAGTTGTATCTGGACCTTGTAGGAAGCTATGACTTTGTTTACTGAGACATTAGCTGAAGTTTTTCCGAGCATGGTCCAGAGAGTTCAGATGGGAAATACGAAAATGTCACATGGGAGGCCAAGTTGCAATAGGTATAAAATTCCACCATTAGGTTTCCAGACCAAGATAAAGAGCTATGGGATAAGTGAACTTTCACAGAGTCTAAGAAAATAATAATGAAACCCCTTAGCAATGAATTATTCATGAATGAGGGGTTTCATCTAACCTTTGAAAGGTTTATGACTCCTTTTAAAAAATCTAGAAGATAAGCATAGGTGGATCGGAGCTACTGCCGTGTGATATGTTTGGTTGAGGATATGAACACATGAGTTGTGTAAATATTTGCCATAGATGAGAGTGTTACATGCTTTGGGATCCAGAGAAAACTGAAGGTAGCACTCCCAGGACCCATCAGTCAGAAATCGTTTGAGTA